GGCTGGAGAGAGGAAGAAGAAGAGGAGAGGAAGAAAGGTGGGAGGAGGCCTTTTATACCCTAACAACACGTATCTTCCTAAAGTTGGCAGCTGACTTGCATCTTCCCTCTCAATGGATGTCACATGTCACCTGCCCCATTCACACGGGTAGTTCATATAGAGACCCTTGGAGTTGTGGAAACATGTCTACAATTGCAAACTGTTCATTATGAGATTTTGGCATCTTGCCAATGATAATTGTAGACTTTTGTCTATCTAATGGAATTAATAGCAAGTCATGTCCAGTTCAAGTGAAGGGTACACGTTGGATATTCAACACAAAACGAGTGATATATGCAGCTGGAAAAGAAGCCGAATAGACAAGTGCCGCCAATGTATGCTAGAATGAGTGGGTGATCGTATGTGGACCCGGGTGTATTAACAGAAGTGAAATTATGTGTGTAGAATAATCGACGATATGCACGGAAAAGACGTGGGTGATAAGTGAGTGTACAGTAAGACAAAGGGCAGAAATATGACTGCCGCCAAATCAAAAATGATGCCGAGAAGTGAAAGACGGGCTAAAATGCAGATCAAATAGCGAATGCGCCAATCATGACCGTGAGCATAGACCAGCTAATGCCGCGGATGAGGTGGGATGCGGAGCTGTCAGATACTGTGGCCATTGTAGATGAGCTCGGTGATGATGGTGACGTGGCGCCAGCGGTAGGAGCAGCGGTGCCAGTAACTGGCGGTGCGGTGAATGTCCCATTGCCCTGCGACGGGGACGAGGATGAAGAGGATGAGGTTGAAGACGAGTCAGAGTTCGACTTCGAGGCTGAGGCCGAGGCCGAGGCGAGCGCGCCGAAACCGATCTGTCCATTGTCGAAATCGAACACGGTGTAAACATTTTTCAAAAAGACATCGCCGACGAGCCAATCTGCACCGTTTGATGCATAGCCGACGATAGTCGAAATGCAGTAGTCCGAACCATCCGACTCGGTATTTCCGATATAATCCTTAGGGGAGACGTTATATTTGACACCAGAGAACTCGAACTCTATGGTAGCAGTCGAGTTACATGGGATCAGATAGTTGTTCGGGTTGGAAGGCTGTTGGGATGAATCAGGGACGAGAGAAAACAGGGCTTTGGCATCCGCGGGAGGGATTAGGAGATAGGTAGTGCCAGTGTCGATGGTAGCGGATTTTCCAGAAAAGTTGCAACTTTGGCCATTCACATAAGCATCGTCGAGGGGGATGTTCCAGATTTTGTCATTGGTAGAAGTATAGGAGATGGTACCATCGAATTTGGTTGTATCGACATCACCAAAGTTGATTTCCCCATCCTTGTTATTATCTTCTGAGCGAGAGAGACTGAACCCAACCAAGTTTGACTTGATGAGGTTTTTCTCAGCAACGAGATCCATGAAGGATGGCAAATCCCACCCTGCTGTATGCGACCGACCCAGGCCGAGGATCCCGTCGAATGGGTAACTCTCAAAGGTTTCCGAGGCATTGTTGGCTAGACCAAAAGTTTGCAAGACTTCGAGCCCTGCAATTGAGAGGGTGTCTTTCCCCATCTTGCCGTCGACCTTGCCGCTCCCGTAAAAGAGGCTGAAAGTCGAATCATCGGTCGTGTAGCTGGTTGATGCTGACCGGTCGAAAGTGTGATGATGTATGCAGACAGGCTCAGTGCATTTCGAGTCGAAGACCCAGGTATTGGGTGCTCCAGTGTCGATTGCCATCCACATTTCTTGCTTTTGAGAACCTACATAGACGGGAGAGAAGTATGAATAATCTGTTCCGTCTTGGTGTAACGGTGCACTGTCTGCCAATGATGGCTTATGGGACTCGACGATCTTATAGCCATGGTCGCGGCGAACGGGCCCTTTTTTTAGGTCAAGGGTCCAGGGTTTCGTGTTGGCTGTGTTGGATGTTTCGGTGCTGTCGGCGCTCTCGTCAGATTTCGCTTCAATCAAAGTCCATGGGACAAAGCGACGTTCGACTGTGGTTTCCGTGGAGAGTTTCATCCGCAATTCCCATGGGTAGAAAGCGTGGACGCCCGAGATGCCGGCAATGAAGACCAGACATGATGACAGATGCATGATCCCTGGGGGAGTTTAGGCAGAAAATGTAGAAGGCTGCATTTGGTGAACTGAAGCTAGATCCAATTGTATGTCTCTATTCAATGTAACTGCTGTTCGCTGTATGGTGGTGGAGCTGAGGAATTGGGGGACTCGAGAAGTTGAAGGATTGAATTAAGCGATAGAGATCGAAGTTAAAGAGAACAAGAAAAAAAGACAGAATATTAAATAATGAATTGTAAAAGGCCAGGAGGTTGGAGAGACTCGAAATGTGCCTATGAGAGATGTGAGGGGGAGGTGGCGGACATGCCCAGTCTCCGTCTCCACCGTCGAAAAACCCCCCTGAACAAGAAGTTGGCAAGAACTGCAGTTGGCTCTAGACCGTAACAGGACTAGCTCCCACTTTCCTCCACTTGTCTAACTCTATTTCTGGTATCGATCGGCTTGTTAAATGAAGCTAGTGGAGTCAAACGTTCTATATGAAGGAACTTGAACGGGATATCAATACTGATATTGGATCTTGATGTGTTTTCTATTTTTTATACTATTGACTGTGATTGCTTCAGAAACTTTGGGCTACAAAAGTGTTAATAGTTTAAGAGTAACATTAGAAGCTGTGGAGTTAAGTAGTTAAACAGCTAAACAGCACATTGAAGTTTTCTATGGGAACACCTAAAGTCCAAAATGGAAGGCGAAGAGGGATATCAATAGAATTTCCAAGCCCACAGAATGCGACCGTACTTTGTACAGAAGCCATTGGCGTAACCTTAGAAGGTCTAGACTCGCTGGATTTACGCCTCCACTTGGGTCGAGAACGTCTGACCCTGACAGCCCTGAAAAGACCACTTCTTTTCTACAGATACTTGTCTCTACTTACTGCAGTCATCGTTTGCTAAACTATTTAGATTGATTCAACTTGAATGACCAGAATATGTATTTAATGCATTTTGACCTGATCCAATTAATTGGAAAGTATAAAAATGGGAGACCTAGAACGGATATATCATGTAGATCATGAGCCAACTGTGGAGACTAATTCTGAAATCGAACGCATCTAGGAGTTTCCATTGCTGCATCATATACTGTGCGGATATTGCATAAGGCAAATATTGGCTCCATCATTTACAAACTGACCAGTCCCTAACTATCTCATGGACCAAGCCAGTTACCAGAAAGTAATACTCTTTATACTACTGCATAAATAAGTCGAAGTGCACATGTCATGCACAGCTTGCCAGTCTAACAATGTCTGCACTTATCTCACAGCCACCGCATTAGGCGCATACAATATTGAACACCAAAGCCCACTTCAATAGGTATTAGTACCTCGGTATATCTATATCAGCTTTTGGACATTGACGACAATACCTCCATTTGATACGAGTGTCATAATATTTGCTATTACTTCATCACGATTCTTATGCTGGAGTAAGTGCGTAGTTGCTGTATAGATTTAGGTCGGCTAAATGGAACTGTTCGCGACTGCCCATATAGTGAATTATAGATCGACCCGAAGGACCCCAAGGCCCTAACAGATGAAGACTCAAGGAAGCAAACTGTATGCCGAGGGACCTCGAGGGCTATCTCAATGTAGATAAATCTATGCCAACAAAGGCACAGGACCAGTAGATCACGATACAAATCACGCCACAAACCCCTTGCGGCCCAAACAACCACAAATCACCAGCCACGTATAGCCACAACGTTAAAAGGCAAACCTAGGAACAATAGCCGTTATCAAAGGAGAAAAATATTCAATGAGGCACACATCCACACCCCCAAAATCCCCGAAAAGCGATTGATAAATCAATCAGATAATCACCCCTGCTCTCCCCGAAATAGCCCGAGCGGGACTCCGACCTTCCCCACGACACCCGAGCTCCATCTGTCCCACCGATTCCACCGGCAATTGTAGATTGCAAGGAACGAAAAACAGATCTCGGAACCGCAAAGACATTACGTACCGCGGCGCCGCTGGACATACGGAGGAGAAGAAAAGTGGGCTGATTCGATTCTCGTGCTGGATTCGGTAAACTAGCGCTGGTCCTTCTGAAATGAAAATGTCGACGTCATTGTTCCCGAGGTGGACAGGACAGCGCTGTCGGGATCGGAGCATATGCGGCGAATATCATTTCTAGAGTATCACTTTTAGGATTATTCGGACACATATCTCGGTATCGCACGCACGTGCGTCCGATGGACCGTGGTGCAATTGTCGGCGATGATCTTGGGAAGTGGTCTTGGAATGATACTATGATCACTTGTCTGGAGCTGAAGGGAGTGTGGTGACCTCGGGTCAACGGTGCACTTTGATTAACAGATGAGTTCCCGGGAGTCTGGATCTACTTTCGTTGTAGATCATGGTGGGTACCGGAGAATGCCTCGGCACAACGAAAAATGGGAATTTTCGGGTTTGTTTCATGAGTGACGATATTGAGTCATCTGCGGCAATGGATTGGGAATGATTTAGTTGATTGGAATGATTGTATGGAAATGTTCATTGGATTGTTCTCGTTTTGTATCTTTTTAGGTACTTACTATATCCAAATAGACTATCATATACGGAATTGAACCGCACCCGACAACACGATCTTTCTAAAAGACGTCAATAGACGGAGGCCACGACACTCGTTGAAGATGGTATGGACAGTAATGTTCAATTGATTGGCACAACTTGACAGAGTTGCAGTGGAATAAGATAGTAAAGAAAAAAAAATAAACCAACGATCGGCTGGCTGACTGGAGGAAGACGTCCACTCCATGGGAAAGATATTACATCAAAACGCTAGTATCTTAAAACCGTGACGAATCCAATCAAGAAAATGACAAGATAAAGCCTGAACAATATATCAGACAACAAGAGAATTCGTTTCATCACTGACCCGTCAACGGGACTGAAAGCAACAAGAACGGACCAAAGACAGGAAGCAGAGGACTCTACTTCCTCTGAACACTCTCCTTGGGGCCCATAACATCATCAAGGAAGCCAGCCCAAAGCTCACGTATGACACCAGGCTCAGAAGAACTATTTGACCTGCGCTGGATCTCCTCGCCGACACGTGAGCGGCCGACGGCCTCGGTAAGCGAGAACGGGTCCAGATCGATGGCGTGGTTATCGACGACCTCACTCATCGCGCTGGCAGGGACGTCAGCGCCGGTGCCGGACACGGTGTAGATCTGGGGCTTCATGGGTGGGGCGGTGGGTGTTTGGCGCCTTGGGATGGAGGGGAGCTCGGGAAGCACCGGGACTTGGATGCTGCGTTGCAGAGGGGCGGCGTCGAGCTCTGCCATGTTGGGCATGTAGACGAAGTCGACGGTAGAGGTGTCATTTAGGGCTTTTGTGGCGCGGGAGGTGTTGAATTGGCGGGAGGAAGAGGAGCTGGAGTATGTTAGCTTTAGGACTCGTTTTCTTAGAAGGTTTGGAATGGAGACATGGGTAGATGTATTGAATGGAATGTGTGGGACATACTCTGGGAATGCACTGCCGTTGATTCTGCGCATGGCGATGCTGAAGGCGCGGGATTGGAGGACATCGTGGTTGGAGAGGGCCTTTTCGCCGGTGTTGGCGGGTTGAGCGGACTGAACTCCGGTGATGTGAAGGCAGCGGCGAGCAGAGGGTGCCACAGGCTGTTGAGAGAGAGTGCGGAGAGCGCGGAGAGACGATGAACGGGGAGCAGTCATTGTGATGGTGTGAAGTGTATAGAACTATAGCTTTTTTGAGATGGAGCTATGTTGGGGCTTGGTAAAAGGCAGAGGTCTCCAAATATAAGGAAAAAGAGAAGGCGAGAAGTGAGGGGAGTATGGGAATATAGGAACAGGGCGATAGGCAGCTTTATAGAGTGAGAATGGTTGGGGAGAGCTATGAGCCCACTTCTTGGCGGTCTGGACCGTTATCGATAGTGTCGAGCCAAAAAAAAGTAGAGCACGTCAACACTGGAAAAAAGGCAGTGGGTGATTTTGTTCGAGATTTGAAATCTAAGACAGTTTTTTTACTTTTTAAAAAAGGATGAACTGGCAGGAAGGGAAACAAGGATCCCCTCTATATATGCCTTTCTACTTCCCATGACTGTGCTGAGTTCAACAATTCTCCCAGACACAGATCTACGGCGTAAGTACTAGGTACCCAGTTATCGGGACTGTGGACTACCCCGTACCCACCAGAACAAGGAGTGACAAAGAGTACCGGGTACACTACTTACCCCCCGAAAATGATGTATTCTGGACTCTCCGTACTCTCCGTTTGTATGTACTTCTGAATATCCCATCTCACCCCCTCCTCTCCCGAATCTCCTGAAACTGGTGATCATTACGTCTCTTTTGGATGATCATCCAATGAAATAATCACCAGCATTATTGACATCGGCCATTATTGGGTGTCTTCCTGCAGAATGGGGTAATCTGTCGAATAACTAGCACGGAGTAGTCCGTAATCGTAATCTGCCCATACTCTGGACGTAGGCCCCCCTCATTGAATTCTCCTAGGGAAAGTGAAAAAAGCGGAGAGTTTTATCTGGTTCGAAGATACGGAGACATGCACAACGGTTCCGTGATGCATATCGCCCTCTAATCCCCTAATCGTGAGTGGCTCCCACAATTCGCTCTCACGCCCTTCTCCCTCTCTACTGGCGAGTCGGTCTGCACCACTCCCTGAAGGCACGTAAGCCACAAAAGGTATGGAATTCCAACTTTGGGGAATACCGGGGTTGATCGCCGATCCTCAATTGTTGAGGAATCCCATGACCTGATAGTGGACCTCAAATGGATTCTAAGAATAATATGAGCCCAAGACCTCAGAAGCAAGTTAGTGTCACACTAGTCCTTTAATAAGTGGAGCGGTGAGATTCGGAGTTGGGTCCGCCTTCCGAATGATCTACAAAGTACGGAGTACATTCTCTGTGCTACACGGTATAAGTCATTCTGTGCAGATGCTCATTATCATCTTGGTGCTACGTGTCCGTTTTCAAATTCAGGTTTATGGTTTTCTCACCCCGCAATCGCTTATTGCACCCGGAAGGTCCGGATCGAACCTTGGAAGGGATCGTGTCGAGGTCAGCAGACCTTTATATGTTATAGGTGGCTATGCTTATTATTTTGGTGACCAGGGGCTCGGGAGTATTCGATCGCTGTAAGGGCCCGCCCTGGGGAAGTGTCGATAAATCTTGGCAGGAATTGGTTGAATTATTCCCCTTTTACCCCTAGATCAGAGGGTCGGGAACATTTGGTTTTGTTGACTTCTATGCTCGGAAGGGAAGCGGGCCGGTATATTGTCGCTAATTACTTTATCTGGGAGGCAACTGGTATAGCATACTGTATGTACTCTATGGTGGTGAAACTAAATAGATGGATCGCATCCCCGTGCGATGGCATTGGTCATCCGACATTGCAGCCCCAGTACGGAGTACAATATCTCATACCCAACTTTGTACATTCAAAGTTTCGACCCGAGTCGCCGTCGTCTAGCTATGGCCTGAGCGTACGGGTGCGAACGGGACGCTGGAACCAGGTGGTCGACATCCCCAGTGTGCACGAGATCAGGGGATGCCTCCGCCAGGGATGTGATGCCAATATTCCGCATAGCTGTTTCCAGCTCATCTTGCATGACTGCGAGAAAGTTGAATCAGCAAACTATAAAAGCAGAATGTCAAGCCATAACTTACTGTCAATCAAATGCTCTACTCCCTCCTGGCCATAATTGGTAGCAAAAAGCATACTCCGACCCATCCCCACGGCCGTTGCGCCTAGACAAACCGCCTTCAGGATGTCAGTTCCACGCCGAATCCCGCTGTCCACATAGACCTCCATACGATCAAAGACCTCTGGGCAGCGCCTGTGGATCTCCAGGAGCGTGATAATCGACGGAGGACTAGTATCTAGGTTGCGACCGCCGTGATTGCTGAGCAAAATACCATCAAGTCCCGCTTTCATGGCGAGTAGCGCATCATCCGCTGACATCACGCCTTTCAAACACACCGGCTTGTGGGTGTGCTGTTTCACCCATTTCAAATCCTCCCATGTCAGCCCAGGATCAATGAACCCAGCCATCACGCGGCCGAGACCGCCGCCTTTCTTGTCATTCTGCGCCTTCGACGGTGACATGGGCACTGATAAGCTCTCGTCTGCCTTGACCCGCTCGTCGGCCTCGCGCTTACCGGGCCACGCAGCGTCCACGGTAACAAAAATAGCTTTGATGTTCGGATTGGTTGAGCACTGGCGCAGTAGAGCGGCGGACTTTGCTCGGTCCCGGTTGACATACAATTGGAAGAAGAAGTCGGCTGAGGGCGCTGCCGTACGGAGCTCGTCCATAGTGTATGATGAGTTGTTTGATATCTATCCAGATAGTAAGCATAGTGACCGGCAAAGCACGCCATATAAGCTCACTCCTTGCATGATTCCTTTGTTTGCGCAGGCTCTGGCAATGGCGCACTCTCCATCCGGGTGGATGAGCTTTGCCATTGCTGCCGGGCTCACGAACAGTGGGAGCTTGTAACCCCCGCCTAGAATATTTGTCCTGGCATCTACCGAACGGACGTTTCTTAGGACTCGCGGACGGAACCATATGCGGTCAAAGCATGACTTATTGGCGTTCCGTGTGATTAGATCTGTAGCTGCGCTGGAGTAGAATGCCCAGGTCTTCTTGCTGGCGGTTTTCGAAGCCACTACCTCAAAGTCGTGCGAGTTGATCAGTGTATCCAACTGGGGCTTTTCGTTTTCCAGGGCCACCTTGGGACTCTGCCCTAGTGGTGGTTTAGCCCACTCGGCGTCAATTGTAGAGTCATCGAGCACACCCTTGAACTTCTCTGGGTGAAGATTGTTCCTCATTACGCTAGGTGCGTGGACTTCTGAATAGGCTTTCGTTGCATCTCTGCCTGCATGCTTCAGGATAACTATTCGTGAGGTAGATTAGATATCGCCCTGAGATGATACGTTTGTCGGTGTACGTACTTGCGGATCCCCCAGGATGCTCTTCCAAAAAGTCGGTTACGTCCCACACCTGCTTGTCAACCACAACCCAGCAATCTTCGGGCGTTTTGTGCTCTGAGATCTGTTGAGCAGACAGAAGCTTTTGGTCTGCCATTGCTGTCAGGCGGTATAAGCGTGCGGGTTCTTGGATTAACCAGGAAGAAACTGAGGCCGATACTTAACGACGCCGATCCTGTATGTGAAACTGTGAAGGAGAATTTCTGAGGTGGAGATAAATTCGAAAGAGCCATCCACAGCGAGCTAAATACTCAGCAAGGGTCTGGGGCGGGGATGGCCTTCGGCAATGCAACCGGACTTACCCCGGATTGCACGGCCTAAAGTTCCCCGAGCTTCCCGCTCGAGCATCCAGCTTCTTATACGGAGTGCTGTGTGCTGTATTGAAGCTCCTATGTTTAAACCCCTGGTCTTGAATGTCTTTGGGATTACCCTGCCTTTCTAGATTGCCACTCAACCTGTTTATAATGTAGTCCCGCGAAATCAGCCCCACACAGGTTTGTCGTACAAAAAGGTCAAAGATCAATGGTATTTCACAATCAGCACAAGAAGTTGGATTTCAATCTGACTCCAGTTTGAAGACATCCAAATTCCGAAGTATCACGAATCGGCGAGGCAGCGAGGGGACCACGGATTTCGCTCCGAGTGAGTGGGTCCCTGGTCCCTGAATGTAGCGCTTGTGCTTTCAGGCATCAACTACCACCAGCCACAGTGAAAGCCTCAGCCCTAGTGTGGCTGAACATTTTCCGACCGTGAGTCAACACACATTTGTCTCGACAGAGGAACTGGAGCATTTCAACGACACAATAACACAAGGATCTCCAGTCTATCCATCTGATGCAAATAAACTCTGCCGTTGGCTGTGCTTTGAGACTTTTCCGCCACCATATCACCTCAAGTGCGAGGTCGACAGGCATAGATAGACCTGTCTTGTTAGGTCTGTTCCGTGTCCAAATATAGACTTATCAACTAGTTCAGTCACGCAAAGGCTGGGTGGTCTTTGAAAAGCTTGAGCTGACTTTCGTAGGTTTTCATAAGGGTCACAGCTTGGCTGGTCTGTCTGGTCTGTCTTCTGTAAATTTCATATCTGCTGGAAATTCCAAGACAATCTCCACAAGAAGACAACGGACCACATTAGATATGGATGAATCTAAACCTCTCCGATATGTCGATGTGTGTCGCCTTTTCTTAACAGCCTCACCCTCGAAAGGCTATGGAACTCATAGCTAACTGCGAAATCCTAGATTGGTATCAACTTGAGTGATCCCGTTTTCCGCGGTGAATACCATGGAAAGCAGGCCCATGAAGACGATCTCGATGACGTTGTGCAGCGTGCTCGCGATGTAGGCTGCTCAAAGTTCATGGTAACCGGCTCAGATCTTATAGAATCGAAGCATGCTGTCCATATCGCCAGCAAATACCGTAAGTTTCGAACTTGCCAGGTCTTTCCCTTTGTCTACTAACAACGGGAATCTGCAGCGGGATTTTGTTATGCAACCGTTGGTGTACATCCATGTCAAGCAAAGCTCTTTGACGAATACCCTGACGGTCCCTCAAAAATGCTGGAGGAGCTCCGCGCTCTCGCAATTGAATCCACACAATCCGGCCACGCCGTCGCATTCGGCGAAATCGGCCTTGATTATGACCGACTATTCCTGAGCCCCAAGGAGCCACAGCTCAAATATTTCGAGGCCCAACTAGACCTGGCCGTTGAGATTCAACTCCCTTTATTCCTCCACTCCAGAGCTGCAAGCGAGGACTTTGAGAGACTCCTCGCCCCAAGGCTTGCCAAGCTTCCCAAGCGGGGACTTGTGCACAGCTTCACGGGAACAATGGATGAAATGAACCGGATGATTGCGCTGGGTCTTGACGTCGGTGTTAACGGGTGCAGTATGAAGACCGAGGAGAACCTTGAGGTTGTCAAAGCTATTCCACTCGACCGGCTCCAAATCGAAACTGATGGGCCATGGGTATGTATTTTGTTCTGAGCTCTGGCCAGATTAGTCGTGACTGACCTCTCTCTTAGTGTGAAATTCGCCCCTCTCATGCATCTGCAAAGCACCTGAACGGTGCACCGGATCTGCCGAAGGCTGTGAAGAAGGAAAAATGGCAGAAGGGGTGTATGGTGAAGGGCCGTAATGAGCCTGTCGCCATCGCTCGTGTTGCTCATGTTATTGCTAGCGTCAAGGGTATCACTGTGGAGGAAGTCTGCGAAGCGTAAGACATCGATTGTCCTAATACCCGGCTCCATGCTAACTCCTTTTATCTCCAGTGCGTGGAACAATTCTATCAGCATGTTTGGCTTGGGTGAGGAGTCGCCTTGATTTTGCTGTCGCCGCAGGTCGCTGATAAGGACAATGCATGAATCCATGGATGCTGTGTCATGCTATCACAATATAAGGGGAAAAATGTCAGATTGCTCAGTTTGGAACTTAGCTTTCTCAACTCTCTCAATGCATCTATCGTTCTCACATTCCACCATGCACCTTAGTCTCTCTTCACGGAGAAGCTCCGGATAGAAACAAAAGGTCTGAGCTTTATTGGAAGAACTTACGCACTATTTCCTGGCTGGCCGTCCGACTCTTCCACATGTCGGGCAAGGGCAATAAAGTCGCCGACGCACTCTCTAGATGGCCGACCAGCACAGCACCCAACCCCGGCCGGACCGAGGACGATTTGGATTCTATCAACACTGCGTACGCTATAGACCCGCCGTGCGCTTTTCTGACCTCAGTCATCAGCCGCGACGTGAAGCAAAAAATAGCAACAGTGTGGTCCCGCCAGCATCGATCCATGTTTTTCGGCGGGTAAAGAGCCTGCACCACTACACCGTCCCCCAGGCCTCTCCCATGGTAGGGGCACCTTCCTCCCCTAACAACAATTTGCTCTTCCTTCTTGGCCCGCTCACCCAAACTCTGGCACCTATTGTCCCCCCCCCCCCCCCCCCCCCCCCCCCCCCCCCCC